TTCAGTCTGACTGCAACAGGTGAACAAAATAATAACATTTTTGTCGTGCTAAATACAAGTTTTATATATTTGCTTGCATGTGTGTATACATGCATAAGTATGTACAAATGTACGAACATGTTCGAATAATGGTTTCCAATTACTCCCGGCTAACTGTTTACTACATATCAACTCCAATCTCAATTTATGTTGTTTTCATCCGTCGAATGGTTGACAACAACAACAGAAGCAGCAACTTTGCTTTCGTCTCTCCCTCGCTCTTTGCCATATGATTAAGTGCAATGTTTTCAATATTGTTGGCACTCACATGATTCGCTTACGTTTACGTTTTCACACTTTCAAGAACTGCACTTGGCATTTGCATAACCAGCACGAAAGGGAAGATAAACAGAGAGCGCAAGAATGAGAGAGAATGAACGCGAGAGATCGGCGCAATTTCCAACTAACGCTGTGTAACAGAGTTGCCAATAGAACTGAAAAGCATGCGTCAGCAATGGTACAAAATCATACAACAATTTGAGTCAATTTATACAATCTATGTAACACTTACAATTGATTGCAATTGCATATTTTTCAATATGCAAATAATCAATAAAGCATTTATGCCAGCCGCTACAGCTATAGGGTATGAGCTAAGTCGGTATAGCACTCAACAGCGACACATTACTGTGAGTGGGCGTGTCTGTCGCTTTGTCCGCCCTTCAGAATTTCTCAGCTCTTCGCTGTTCGCTTTCCTCTGCCCGCTCACCATTAACCGTTAGCTTAATTGCGTATTTTATTTTCATTCTATGCTCGATAATGAATAAAGAAAACAAAAACTACAATATTGCTCTTTAAATTTAGACATTTATTTTTACGTTGTTTGTTGTCTTTTTTTCCTTCATTTTATTGCCGCCCAAAAACCAAAAGTAAAGTGCAAAACATCGCAGAAAACAAATTTGCTAAATCGGCGCTAAATTAACTCAAGATCACGACATAACGAAATAACAAAATGTCAAAGTATTGGCTGATAAATAGTTGCTGCGGCCTGTCTGCTGGCTGGCCACTGACGCAGGCAATCGCCCCAGGATTATATAGGTGTCTATATATACATACATTATAGATTCATATGTATTCATATAAGACATAACAATTTTATGCTCGTGGCTAGATTTGTATGGGGTTTTTAGACATATGTCTCTCGTCTTTTTAATACCCTTTGTTCGTCAAATTGGTTAATAAATTTGTTTTTATTTATTTCGAACATTTTACGAATAAACACATTTACTGGATATAGAAAGGGCGAGTCAATCAACCATACCGTATAGATTATGCTCTCGTCGAAAACGAAAACTTCTGAAATTACGTAGCCCAGAGTCATTATCAATATCGCATTAGCTCATCAAGTAAACGACACGTAAACCCAGCTAACACTTTATCTGCCTGTCCTATTTGACTAGTTTTTTGACTGTCAAATTAAATACTTATTTGCCTTTATGTCATTCCCATAAATTTTGGACTTTATCAATTTATATAATTAAATGAAAAAAACCGCAAGAATCGTTTCGCAGTTTTCGCCCTAAGTTAAGCTAATTGCGCTTGCACAATCCATATGCACTTCCATATCTAGTTCCACAATCCCAAGTTCGGAATCCACAACCAACATTAAATTCCACAAACCTAATTCCAACAACAGAGTCCAATTCCATTTTCATATTGTCACCAACAATCCACATCCAGATGCAGATGCACGTCTCAGAACCATAATCTAAATTCGAAATCCACAACCCATAGCTAAATTCAAAGCACACGTCCACATCCAGAATCTAGGTGCACATGCAGTTCTGAATCCACATCCTAATTTCACATCAGCGGCGCACATGCATATCCAGAATCCAGAATCCACAAGCACATTTACAATCCACATCCAGTGCCATATTACGATTTGCATTTGCATTTTTCTATTGCGCTCATATTGAAATGATTCGCCAGCCTTTCAAACGTGATCTGTGCATTGCATTCTATATATAAGTCTGTACGTGGTATCTATGTATATTTATACCAGTGCAATCCAGCACCGTGGATCAGGTATCGGGGACTGACGACTGGGTCAGGGAATTTACATGTGGCTGGCAATTTTAATAAAAACAACTTTCGCGGAACTTGCGAAAGTTCCCAGCTTGCGGTCGCAATAGCATCGATACGACTGTAAAACTAGCTGAGACTTCGGATAAAAATAAGCATCATAAAAGTATAACGAAGTTGAAATGCTCTAAATAATGAAATGGGTATTATTATAACAGATGAAGTGATTTTTGTTATTGAAACTATGTATGTACATGGTATGAGTAGTAGGACGATCGAGTCGAAAATATATTATGTACATATATTTTTATTATGTACGTATACATTGTGACAAACACCCACTGTTCGGGCACTTACATATATAACAAATATTTATTAAGAACAAATCAAACAACAGTAAATCAATCTATTTGAGCAGCGTCTGGTAATAAATGTTCCGGGCTCTACACAAGAGTGGGCGGTGGGGTGTGTGGGCTAGAGACGGAGGCTACGACCGGAATTCGTTTGAGCGCTCTAAACGCGCACGCCAACTTCCCGCCGCTGGAATAATTCGCGCTGTAAAGGCAGCTCGATCGATTTCGACGCTTCGATCGGCTGCAATTCAAATGCGTAAAACGAAACAGCACGAAACCAAACGAAACGAATTGAAATCATTTTTAATTGGGCCAGTCGAGTTTGACTTGTGACTAAGGCGACAGTCATTGCAATTGTTGGTGTTTAATTTCCTATATAGGCTGCATTAATAGCCATAACAACAGTTGCTATTCTCGTCAATGTTTCATCAATTAGTATCGATGAGGCGGCTTTATTCAGAAAGCCGGAGCGTCGTTCAATAACTGGCAGACAAAATAAACTCAAAATGTTACAATTGCGTCATGTGATCTTCCAGCGATGGCACGTGACATTTTCGCTTTCAAGTGCGCCCTTCTCTCTCTCTCTCCACTCTTTCCTTGCGAACTGGCAAAAGAGTGAACTTCGTTCTCTTCAATTGCTCTCCTGTTGAGTGCAAGCACATGCGTGGTGTGTGTTTGTGTGCGTGTGTGTGTGGCCCTTCTTTTTTGTACCCTGTGAGAAAGAGACACATGTTTCCGTTTGCGCTTGTTTCCTAGCTTGTTTTTCTTTTTAAATCATTTTTATTGGTTGGTTTCGAAATCATTTTGTCATATTTGTTTCACTTGTTCTTTGCCAGCTAAATTCTGTTCAGCTGTTATAAAGATTCTTACGCTGTGGCTGTGTGCTTTGTGTGTGTGTGAGCTTCTCTTTGTTTGTGTGGCTTAACAATAAAATTTCTTCAACTTGGGTCTTACGCCCCTCTCGCACCCAGCTTGCGCCGCAGTTGTGTTGATCCTTGTTCCTTGATCGATTGATTAGTCATTCATTATTATCAGGGTAAAGTTCATTTTAAAACATTTTCATGAAAAATATAAACACGATTTTTGCATAATATTCGTTTTTCTCTCAACAGCGAGTTTGTTGTTGTTTCGTTTTGCTTGGCTAATTTTATTAAAAATACATGGCAAAAAAAATTGATTATATTCTTTGATTTTTGTTTTTGTTTTTACTTTTCAAATTTTTTCTTCTCTTTTTCAATTTTAATTATTTTCAACATGCAATGCGTCGCCTGCGCGCAGTTGCCAAAACACGCCTTAAAATAACAACAAAATGTGGAGAAAAATTGCAAAAAAAAAAAAAGAAAAACAAATACCAACTAAGAACATTGCAAAAAAAAAACCAAAATAAAATTTACGCTTGCAGCTAGCAGAAAAATTATCAATTGTGTTTATATTTTATTTATGTGAGTGTATGTGTGTGTGTGTGTTTTTTTTTCTCTTTTTTCGTAAATGTATATAAGGTTGTCTCGTATATATTTAGGACTCTTTAAGGTACCTTTTTCTCATCGTTTATAACATTTAAAACTACATAATAATTAAGCACTAAACTAGGCATATATATAACTCTCAGCTGAATATACATATAAATATTTTTATACATATAACAACTGTTTGTTTATATATTGAAACAATATAAAAAAAATTGTTTAGCTGCTTATAAGATAGAAAAAAAAAAAAAAAAAAAAACTAAAGAAAGACAAAAATACATCGAAATAGTGGCTAAATAAGCTGTATTATCATATAACGCTTCACAATATATATATTTACTAGTTATAAACATTTACAATTACAAAACACCTTCCTCTCTGTGTTTAAGTTTTTCATCTTTTTTAGTATTTAATTAGTAGTTTTCATAAACAACGTGCGATTTTCTAGTTTCAATTTTCTCTTGTCCTGGTTTAGGATATGATGATGCTTGTAGCACAGTATAACACTTTTTGGCGGCGCATGAAAGTGCGCTACCCGTTTTTCTTTTTGCCTATTCTCCTTATTCTTTTTGCTTAGCATTCGCTTTAAGTTGTTTTAGGTTTTGCCAATTCGTAATCGAAAAAATGTTTTTTTTTTTTGTAATTTGTTTTGCCGTTTTAATAAGAAATTTCCCGATATATTAACCCATATATCTTATATGTGTATAAATATGCGTATGTGTGTGTAGGTGTGTTGTAAAATATATTAACAATTGTTTTTTTTATACAAAATCGAGAATCGATTATCCAATCAAATAAATTAGAAATACAAATAATTTATTTAATTAAGAGAGAAAGAGATAACGCAAAACTGTAGTTAGTTCAACAAAAAACAAAAATAATGAAAGATAAGAAATTAAGAACAATTGCTAAAACATACACATTCCATTATTTTTGCGTTTTTTTCTCTTTTTGTTTGTCTAAGAACTTGCCTAATTTAAATACTAAGAAGTGCCCCGCTTTGGCGCTACCTGGAGGCTGCGATTGGCGCCTCTGCAGCGGTGGCAAAGGAAACTAACTCATTTTCGCCTTAAGAATTTGCAATTGGAAATTCGAAAAGTGATCGAATTCGAATTCAATTGATTGGTTTTGCTAAGTTTAGCAACTGCGACGCCGATTCCGATTACGATAACGATAACGATTACAATTACAATTACGATTGCGATTGTGATTGCCAACCGTTTACTTGCTATTGAGTATATCCTCTCGACAGGCAACAGCCGCAACCAGCGCCGCACCACGTCCAGATCCATCCTCGGAGAGCATCAGATCAAAGCTAATGCCCGGCTTAATCAGCTGCGTTATCTTCTCAACCATCAGATTATGGAACTTGGGATGGAAACGATAGACGCTGCCATCAACACCGACCGTCACATGTGGCTCATCCATTTTGTTGATCAGGGTGGCAATACCCGCCGAGACGAGATGGGCAGCACGCTTCGAGACGCACTCGCATATGTAGCGTACATTGGCGCAATCGCCATCGGTGGCATTGGAGAGGCCCAGCTCCTCCAGTACCAGGCGGCAGTTGGTGAATGTTCCGGGCTCATCGGCTTCAATTTCACTCACATACTTGGTGAAGAAGAGGCCGCGAGTGAAGAGAACCTCCGATCCTTGACCATTGAAGAGGACGCCATTCAGTGTCATCTTGGCTAGCACCAGACGCACTAGCTCGCCCATATACATGCCCGAGATCATCTTCTCGAACGTCTGCTTGCCGGGATTGATGCTGTGGCTATCGATGTCATTGTCGAATTCGGTGCGCACAAAGTCGAGAGCTCCATTGTCACCGAATGCTCCCCACTCCGTGTTGATCAGAACGTGCGGCTTGTGATTATCGGGCATATCGAAGAGTTCAGCTTCCTCAACCTTCTCCACGTAGCACGCATTGGAGCCGGTGCCGACAATGAGGCCGATCTTGCAATTGTGATTCTTCCAGGCGCAGCTCATCAGAGTGCCCGTCGTATCGTTAAGTATGGCACAGACATCGATCTGTACGTCGCCGCGTCGCGCGATCGCATCCTTGAGCAGCTGGACCACATCCTGGTCGACAACACCGGCACAGTCGAAGCCCTTCGTCCAGGTCTCGAGCAGGCCCTTGGTTAGGCCCAGTTGGCGCAACGGGAACGAGAATGTGAATCCCAAAGGCAAACGCTCTGAATACACATTATGCTCGGCCATAAAATTGGATAGACATTCGGCAATATGATCGAACAGCTGGCGGCCTGATCCGATCATGATGTGCTGCGGTATCGCATAGATGCGCGACTCCATTTGGAAGTCATTGTTCTCCTGCAGGTGGATGAGCAGCACACGGAAATTGGTGCCGCCCAAATCGAGGGCCAGGAACTTGCCGCGCTCATTGCCATTAGGCAGATCCTGGACGTATGTAACGAAACATTTCACATTGGCCTTGGGATGCGTATCCTTGGCCAGGCCGCGCCTCACCTCGTGCAATATGCGATAGCACAGCTCCTGCACCTGCTCATCGGTTAGCAACAGCTGCTGACATAACTCGTGCACCATTTTCTTTTTGTCCGCTGCACTCGCACCAGCTGCTGATGTTTGTATTTGAATTGCATTTGCATTCGCTGTCGCCGCAGTCGCCGAGTTCGCTGCATTTGTCGCTTTACTAGTGTCGCTGCCAATAGTGAAGCTGCCGCCAGTCGCCGCCGTCGCCGCTGGCAACACTCTTACATTGTCCGTTTCGTCGTTGCCTTTGCAGCCATTGTGGCCATTCAGTTTTGTGGCTAGTCCGTTGCTATTTATAGAAACGCTGCGCATCGCGCCATTCAGCTGCTGCTCTTGGTCCATGTCGTTGTAATTGCTGTTCCTTTTGACTTTGGTTTAGCTCTTGGCTGTTGCACTAGCAGTTTCTTTAGTTTGGCAGTCGCTAAAAGGCAGTCACAGGCACTGGCACCCAAAAAAATATATATATATATTTATTACAGAAACTTGTATTTTTGTGCACGCGCGTTTAGCTCGCGTTTTTTTTCTTTTCTTTGCTATTTTTTTTGGCCGCCTTGTTTTCTGCTAGTTTTGTGCGAGTTTATTGTCTTTGTTTGCTTTATTTTTTATTTAAATTTTGTTTTTTTTTTTTGTTTGCGATTTTCGCTTTTAGTTGATTTTGTTTCTTTTTTAAATACTTTTTGTCTCGGCCGCTTTATTTTCGTCCGCTGCACGCGTCCACTGCTTTGAAACGTTTGCCACGGAATTATTCTCCGTGAAGCTTCGCCAGTTGCTTTACGGTGGTGCTGCCGACGTCGAGCGTGCGCTGTCGCCGTCAACGTTAGCGTCAGCGTCTGTGCGTCGTTTGTGTTTGTGTGTGTATATATATGGTGTCTACGTAGTGTACTTTGAAGGAACCTTGAAGGTCAAAATTGACAATTCGTATGGAGAGGGCAGCATTTTCTGCTGGGCCTGCGTTCAAGATACAATATCGTGCACATTAGTGAGCATATCGAGGGAGAGAGCGAGTGAGAGCACACACATACAAGCGATAGCGCCAATCGCACAACAAAAATACATACAGACTTACGTACATACATATACAGAGAGCAAGAGAGCTGTGTTTAAGTGCTTCATGAATGACTGTTGTACGTATAAGGGGCGGTCAACGACGCGAGCAGAGGTAGCAGCGTCACCACTGCTCTCACAGAGAGACTGAACGGGGGAGCGGTCAGGTGTGTGTCAGACATTTTGCCATCGTCAGCAAACTATTGCACATTATAAGTTCGGCCTTTTGGTAGGCGTTCAGAAGCTTGAGCATAACATGGCTGTCTTATTAATTGGTATTTGTCAACCCGTTGTATTAAAACTAATGTGTAAATGACTATAAACATACATACATGTATTCGTATGAACATAGTTAAATAATTTTATGTATACATTCCGTAGATATTGCTAACATTTGAATATAGCATAATCGCTGGTTTGGAAAGAAGGCTATTTAAATGTCGATAAAACTGAAAGTTTTTAGATATTTCTGCGACTCTTTTGGGTATTTTCTGCTCATTTTGCTGCTACTACCATTGGTGTATAACAGTTTATGCTCAGTTTACAAGAACAAGTTTGCATAGCTGTTCGCTGCTATCCAGAGCAGGCTCTCTTTGTTTTCTCCTTGAATGTATGTGTACATATGTATGTATGCATGTATGGACATACATATAAATTTACGGCATGGAATTTTTTGTTGATGGTCGCTGCCTGGTTTTGGCGTTCGTGGGGCTCGTCTCTCATTTTCCGTTGATGGTGTTAGCCTCTATTATCATTGCATGTACAGATGTTTATATGCACAGGCATGTATATGTATGTCATGCTTGTATGTATATGTATAAATATGTGCGTGTGTATGTACACATATTTTACGTGCCGTCGTCGGCATTCGCGCGTTCCAACAATACACCAAAACAATACACCAAAACGCATTGCCTGACCAACTTGTATAGCAACTTCAACCAGCGCACCCGTACTCCCGTGCTTAACAAACATTTTCGTAGCCATACGCTCTAACCTCTCGCCGTCGCTCACTTGACTTTTTCGTTCGTTCGCTCACCTAGTTCCAAGGAAGTTATATTTCTGGTGCTTTTTATACTCATTCTCATTATTCTCATATAACACATTTTTACTTACCCAGAACACACATATGTATATCTCAGTATGGGAGTGCATGTATGCAAACTTATCGCATATGCCTATGTATTGGTGTTGCTTACATGTTCTTAATATTGTTTAAAGAGGCTCGGCTGCCGCAATGTGCTTTTTGCTATTGCAACGGCGTCTAACAATATTTCCCCATGTTACCTCGCAAAAGTGCAACAACAGTAATGACGCGAATACCTTATGATCATGTGAGCTGTGTCTTTATGCATGTATTGTTGATGGCAGGCGTAATTCACACGTATGCATACATACATACACACTAACATATACAAATGCATGTATGTAGGCATATGCCCACATTTACAGACTTACATAAATGCATGTGGGTGTGTACACATACATACATGCATATGTGTATTTGCGCAGCAGAACACGCCCCTATATGCATATTTGTGTGTATGCATGCATGTGTGTATGCGTGTAACGCATGTAATCAAATTCACAGACCAAGCGCGACAGGTTCGCACGTGTCTTTTTTTCAACTAGTTTCTTGGCAAAATTAAACAACAATTAAAAACATGATATATGAATATATTGAAATTGAAAACAAATGGCTTAATACAAAAAAAAAAAAAAAAAAAAAAAAACTACTTATTTTTATAAAAATATATAAATCTATTTATATATGTATGTATATAAAGTTAGGGCATGAAAAATTGGCCTCCACGTTAGTGCTGTGAATCAGTAAAATTATTACATTTTTTATCTTCTCAAACACAAATACAACTACAAAGTAGCCTCTTATCTGGCTAACGGAAATTGCTTAGAAAAAATGAAATACAAAATTAAGGCGACGATAAAATTTGGTGGGCGTCGTCTCTGACTACGCAGTGGCTGGACGGGTCTACGTAGGTCATATAGAGTCAAACAGAAGAGAATGCATTACCCTATACGTAATAAGCATTAGACAACATAAATATATACGTGTGTATATAAATAAATATGCTTGCATGTGTATGTGTGTGTGGCTAGTCAATGATTCAGCCTTTTGTATATTGAATATTGAATTGAGAAGAGAGCAACCGCAGCTACATACTTGAGTGCTGTATTAGCTGTAATTTTTTTAAAAGTGACGAAATCCTGTCTCTGTTTATTGAAACCGGTTCACAAGTGAAGTGGCTGTTAAGGCAGACTCGAGCTCTGCGAACCAGTTAAACTGAACCAAGCTCAAGTATTTAAGAGTTCCGCGAACCACTTAATAAGCGACTCAGACAACTAAAATTAGAGTTGTTTCTCTTTTCTTTTTCCTTGTTGCGTACGTTGGCTTACAACGCACTGTAATCGCTGGCTCTGAAGCTGGCAACCGTTTTTGCTGTTGCTGCTGACGCTGAGTAAAGTTATTTGTTGTCCGCAATTGGGAATCCAGATTTGGGGGCTCGCCCCGTTGTATACACACAGACAGACATACACATGCGC